TGCACAGCATTCAACAATCCGATTTTCATCTCTTGTTGCGTGCATTCGCAATTCTCATTGAAATTCTCTCTCTATCTCTCTTTCACTTGCTCTCTTTTATCTCTCTCTTGCACTCCAGCAATATAGCAAATACAAGAGACTTTGTTGCATTTATTATTATCATTATTATTGTTATTTGCTGACTGCTGTTCTATTGTTATCATTGTCATAATGTATTTTTTTCTCTTCTTTTTGCTGTTATTGTTGGTACTGATGCTTTTTATTTCGTTTTTATTTGACGGCTCTTTTCCAATATTTCTATGCCATTTTCGGCACTATTCCATACTATCTTCTTCTTTCCCTTCCATCTCCATAATACACTGCACTCGTTCTTGATTCGATTCTCTCTTTCTCTCTCTGTTTTTGAAGTGATTGTTGCCCCTGTTGGGTTGCTTCTCATTTTTTTTAACTTTTAAAATGTGGCGCCACCTAATCTATTTTGTTGGCCCGAGCCAAATCCAAGTCTAATTGAATGGTCATCGGAAATGTCTGCATTGCAAAATTTGCAACAAAAGAAAAGTTAACAATACGAAAATGTGGTGCACACGAAGCGAATTGAATTTTCCATACCATACACATACAAAGATGATGACCGACTGTGAGATCGATGAGCAGCGCACACAGCAAGGGAAACATGACGAGAAAGAGAGAGAGAGAGCGCGTGAAAGATAGAGAAATGTATATTATTTCAGAGAATTTTCAGGTCATTTTGCATTTTGGATGGAACATATGTATATAACATATTATTTGAAATAAAAATATATACTTTAATTAATTAATGAATTTTCGCATTGAATTCAAAATCGTAAATTATATTCTGCACGCCAATCTATATTATGTGCATTGTGAATGACATGTGCAATTCACACTCATACACACCGGCATGTGACCAAAATTTCTTGTAGCCAAATTCGAGTAATAGAAAACGATATCAATTTGATTTATTTTTAGCACTTTTAAGCGACGCGTGCATGTGTGTATACGCGCAAAGAACAAATTGTGCATCCTTTTCAGTTAATGTTAACTCTTTGAAACGATCACACCACCAATATCCGGGAACATGGAACAATATGTTTTTGGTTCGGCCAAGCATTCGATATAACGATGGTCGAAACATTTTCCTTTCCAATATCGAATGAGGTGTAGGAGGATAAATTTGATTATATCTTCATGAATATTAAAGCAATCGAAATATTGAGTTGTCACGTTTTTTTTATGCACAATCGTTTGATAAAATCTATGGGACAACGTGGACGAGAAACATTCATGCTGGTTCCTGCTGAGGTTAGGATTTGAATAAAAATTTCACATTTCTATCTATCTATTAAGAGAAACAGAGTCCGAATCACGTCATTGGACAAAGATAGAATATCTCGTGAAAATAAAGAGAGCAAAAAAAAACGGTTGTCTTTTTTTATCATTTTTGGTCCCCAGACAAAACGTTATGTTTCATGTGTGGTGTAACGTGTTTAGTTCACACATGCATTTCTTTGGTACACGTTGGATTTTTGTCACGACAGATAGCAATTGTCTCTGCCTCCTCCTCCCAAAAAAAAAACACTTTTGTGAAAAACTTAAGAAATTTTTCCACAATTTCCCATCATGGCACAAGGAAGAAAGAACAACAACGGAAAGGACCAAACAGATGGAATTTTCGGCCATATCCATTCATTCCATTTATTTATTTATTTCGTTTGCCGTCTGTGTTCGGGTTTTGAATGTGTGTTTATTCGATCCATGCTGTCGCGAACCAAAGTGAGAGCAGCAAAGATAGACATACACACATTAAAACGAATCTGCGATTGCATACAATCGCATGTGACTATCGTGCTTTTGGGGCTATTTTTAAAAACGGAATAATGACGATAAATACACACCGAGAACAACAACAACAACGACGACGAAATTATTACTCGTAATTAGATTATATACGAAATCTTTCTTCGGTCGTGTATAGTATGTGTGTTGACGTTGGTTGTGTTACATAGAGAGAAAGATTGAGGCGAGCATTTGCATGTGAACATTATATATTTTTTTGTCTTTCGGAGGTATCACATATAAAAGAAAACGAGTAAATGATTCATTGTTAGAACGCAATCTTGTGTGTGCGAGCTCAGAAGTTCGTAATTCGGCAATCGTTCTCTCTTTGCTTATATTTCTCACATAGGCCAAAATGAATCGAAAGACAAAAAAACAACAACAACCACGAAAACGACGACGACAAAAGGAAATACAGAAAAAAAAACGCGACTCGAGAATATACACACTGAAATGAAACGGTTTCTCAACTGTATTTATACTCACAGCGCAAATGAAGAGAAAAAAAAGAGTAAAGTATACGAAACCAAAAGTAAATAGAGCTGAAGCGAGGAACAGCAACAACAACACTAACAGCGAGTATTTGTTGTGCAAAACTACAATCAGAAAGTATACATGTACAACACGGATAGGAAAAGAGACAGAAGCACTGATGAAATGAGAGTATTGTTTAGTATATCGTTTCCTTTTTGAAATTTCTCGAATGCGGTTTTCTACGGGCAAATTTCTACACACCGACAACTCTCATTTTTGGTCTTGAATTCATTGGCCACCAATTTTTTTTTTCTCTCGTCATCATAATCTGCGCTCCCTTTCCCATTCGCTTCTATTCATCGTCGTCAAGATAGTGTATGATTTGTCTAGAATTTCCCAGTGGTTAGTTTAGGTAAATTCAACCGCACAACAAATGGGTGCCGAAAACAGCATACACGATACGATACACGAAAAAAAAAAAAATAAGTCGTAAGTATAAACTAAGCAATTAATATATAGTAACACTACCACCGACGACAACACCACGCGATCCGTGTAAAGAGGAGAAGAAGAAGAGGAAGAAAAGGCAGCAGAGCAACAGCAAAAATGAGCGTAAAGAATGAGAGAGCGAGAAACAGCGTGCGAGTGCGGGATTTTTCGTTGTTGGATGTTTGTGTCTGGTATGTGACAGAAAGAGCAAGAGAGAAAAAGCGCGCGCGCGTTTGCTCGCAGAGAGCATTCATGCTGCCTGTTTTGGCCTGTGTGTGTGTCTGCACTTTTATATACTTCGTCGTGTGTTTATAATTTTTTCGTTGTTTTATTTATTTTTTTTCAAGGAAAAGAAGAAGTCCCAATCGCATATACAATTGTGTTCGGAGGGCGAGAGTGAGAGCGAGAGAAAAACGAAAATCAACAGCAATAACAATAGTATCTGCCGACCAGCAAACGAACCAAAAAACAACAACAACAACAAATTTTATCGAAACAAGCTGAAGGAGAGAGAGAAAAAGAACATGAACACGACAAAGACGACGAAGTCGAAACAGTAACAGAAAAAAAAATATAAAAAAAATAAAAACGAAAAAGAAGAAGAAGTGCAAAGGCGATATAAAAATAAAATATATACTATAAGCTTATATGTACAGCTGAACTATATGTATAATAGTTCCGTGCGCGCACAAACGCACTTAATCGCTTTTCCTCTATCGCCTTTTTTCCTTGCTCGCTCACTCTCTGTACGAACTTTTTCTTCGTATCGGCTCTGAAAAGAAGATTCAATTCTTAAAATGAAATTCGGTTAGTTTTTTTACACTGGATCTTTTTCGATTGTTGCAATCGAGAAGTTGTCCAACCCAAAAAAAAAACACACACACTCAAAAGAATAACAACAACAACAAATATATTTTCTAGCCGCAAATCAATTTGCATTGGAATCGTGGTACAGAGAAAATGAGACCAAAATTCTACAAAAATATAAAATGTATGAAAAAATTAGCCAAAAAAAAAAAAACACAAACGATTCGCCATTCTCTTTTTTTGGGCATAATGTGCAAATAGTGTAAGTGTATATATGTTGGTGTGTATGGTTTTTGGTCAGAATTCTCGACGCGCGCGAAACAACATACATTGACAGTGAGAAACGGAGCAAGAGATATACAACGATACGCCACATATAAACACACAACAATAATTTTTTAACTGAAACGAATTCCTTTTTTTATCGTCATCGACAACATCATCGTCATCATTGATGTTGTTATTGCTAGTGGTGGTTGCTCGCAAAAAAAAGGAATGAAAACGTAAAAAAAAGAATTTTGAGACACACAGAAAAGCGGTGTGCGAACTGACAAAGGAACACAAAAAATTGGCACAATATGCAAAAGTGCCAAAATTGAAATGGCACAACAAGCATCAGAATCAAAACGCACATCCTGGTTTGGACGATGCTTTGCCTTAGATATTTCACTATTGATCGGTCAATCTTAATCACACTTTTTCTTTCTGTATCATTTTCTTTGGCTTTCTCCTAACTCTCTCTCTCTCTCTCTCTCTCTCGCTCGCTCTATTTCTCACTCTCTGGCGAGCGAACAGCATGGTGAAACCGATGATGAAATCATTAAATGCATGATTCACAATGAATTTTATTCAAGCGAAACGGTTGGTGTGTGTTTTGAATTCTTCACAGGCACGCGATTTTTAGTTTCTCTCTCTTTCTCTCTTTTCCTCTCTCTACATATATATATTTATTTCACTCTCAAACAGAATCGAAACAAAATCACGCATACAAATTACATCGATATTCAAAATTTCCGCAATGAAAAAAAAATACGTTTCGTATCTCATTTGCATATGATAATTGATAAATGTTTGATGTTATTTATCGTTTATTCAACAATGCATCGCGTATATCCTTTTGGGCTTTGCCTTCTTATATGTGTGTATGTTTGTATCCGATAATGAGTTTTGTTTGTTTTTTCGTGTAATTCAAATCAACGCACTTCAATTCAGCTCCCTCAACTCTTTGAATGTCACATTGTAATCAACTCACAACAACAACAATACGACATATGCACATGCACAATATTCTTTCTTTCGTTTTATAATACCTCTACAATTGTTTTGCAGTTGTCTTAAATTAATGCAATGTTATTGTTTGGTCAAGTTTTTACCTGTTCACTCACTGTTTCTATTTTACACCATACAATGTTTTGTCCGTTCTTTTGTCTGATTGCCCATTCCACCGTGAATTCGATGCAGATGCACTTATTATTCCTTGTGAATTGTACGTGTGTATAAGTATGTGCAAATTCCGAATTTTGCTTCGAACTCGATTCCAATTTCAAATATTCTTATTCAAATATCATGTTCAATCGTTCAAAATTCGTGAATTTTATTGTATTGGTTTACAAAACGTTCACACTCGCCACTACCGCGAATGGTATCTATGTATCCTTTTGAAATATCCGGATTGATTTTCGGGCTTTCGACCGATTCAAGCACCAAACATATTCACCATCTCGTCGTCTTCATTCTAATTCCACTGTTTACTTTTTTTTTGTTTTGTTTTATTCATTTATCACTTTATGCACTCAATTCACATATTTTTTTTTGTTTCTTTCAATAAACTGAAAAAAAGTCCAACACCACATCCCAGTTTCAGAACAAAACTTTTTTCTTTTTTGAAGAAATCAAATTTAAATGAAATTCGTAAAATTTCATCGTTTCATTAGTTAAACATCGTACTTATCGGTTAAAAATCTACGGAAAATATAAAAATAAATGTATATAGTTGACTTTTTTCTCTTCTGTTCGGTTTTGAATTTTCTTTTTTTTTTACTTTTCAATAAATTTTTCTCTTGTTGTTCGGTGTGAGCGGATAAAATGGTATTTAAGATTTAATAGATTCGAATATTCGAATTATTGTGATTATCTTTTTTTAGGTTTTAATTTAGTTTATTTTTTTATTTTTCTGCTGCTCGCTTCGTAATTCGTTATAGTACCGTGTGTGTGTCGTGTGTAAGTTTTTTTTTAAAAAAATTTCTTCTTACTCTCATGTTCGATGTTCGTTCTCTAGCCTCTACATATATTGTGTATTTCACAAAAAAAATACTGAAGTCTGTACAAAAAAAAACACACACACTTGGTATTTTTTTTTCTTCTTTTTCTCTACAGTGTTTTGCTTAGATGATATTTACACTAATACAACGAATACCGCTCATCGACTATATTTATATATGCACGGGCACACGGGCATACACGGACAATACACTCACATATATATATACGCATACAGATACGCGCACACGCCATACACCGTACATGTGTATCCAATACACACCAAATGGATGATGGCAAAACGGGTCGTCATATCGTTTGTATGCGATTCTCGAGTCTGCTCTGCTCTGTTTGCTGTGTATTCTTTTGGCTCTTTATACTATATGATTTTCCGTCTCGGTCTATCGCGAATGCATGTTATATTCATCGTTCGTTTTCGCTTCGGCTTCGTATGTACTTCGCTTACTCGCTCATTTTTTCATTAGGCGGCAACGAAATGCACTATTTTTTCTACACATTTTTCTCCAAATCGAGACATTAAATCGAATTGGAAAAGTAACAATTGTTTTCAACATTATCTATGCATTAAAATTTGGAAAATGCAATGTATCCCAGGCATGGCCTATCTTCTTTTCATTTCAAATCCAAAGGCAGAAAGAAATCATCGTTTTATCCATCCTATCATGTGTACCTTCGGTTTTCATTGTTCTGTTTCGCTTCTATTTTTTCTGTCGTTGAACGCGATTTTTTTTCCTTCTTCTTCTTTACTCGCTCTTGCTTCAACGCTGAGCTCATAACATGTTTGTATATATTTTTTTTCGGTCGGTCGGTCGGTGCGTGAGTGTGTTTCAGTTGGTCTACTCGCGCGCGATAAACACATACGAAAGCCCAAATTGTGTGTGGCGATAAATACTCTTGTATCTCTCCCAAATGCAAGCGCACAAACACAATTTTAATGGTTTGTTATCATAGTCAGAACGCGCGCGAGACACACACACATATATACATATATGGTAGATACCTTATAGTCACTCATAGGCTACCCATGTCAGTGGCATTCGATCAACTCTTATATTACGATTCCTTTCGATGGGAAAAATGCGCATTCAAATAAAGGGTATACAAAATTAAGAATGGAGCCAGAAAAAAATCCCAACCAAATCATGTGTATGTTGTCAAGTAGTTGGATGGGCATCTTTCACATTTGACATGGGTAGTCTAGATCAACGATTGTATGTTGTCGAGAAAGTTTCGGGCTCGTTGTTCTCTTTCTCTCTGTGTGTGATGCAATTGTTGTGTATAAATGCTGTTGTCGTCGTCGTCGTTGCCACCGCTGCTGCTGCTGCTTTCAAAACGAAAAAAGAAATCACAAACACATATAGATTTTGAATCATACATCAATATTCGCTACTACCAATAAACTTGTGTGTACTTGTCTTTCTGTTCGATACTCGTATATAAATATATTCTTTATTTATGTGTCCTCCTCTACCTTTTTGGTTTCTATATGTGGATATATTGTGATCTTTCCTGTGTAAAGTACATTCGGATAGGCGATATACGAGAGCCTCATGTGGTGGCAACTATGACAACAATATTATTATGCGTGTTCTGCGCGACTATTTTTTGTTCCTTTTCATTCAACGTCCATCTCTCTCATTAATTCGATGGGATGAGCACACGTGTGTGTGTTTGTATTTTGAAATCCAAAAAAAAAATTATTCACTGTATGCAACCGCATGAACCTGTAAAACCAAACTCATGCAAGCTGCAGCAACAGCACAAAAAAACGGATTTTTGTTCTCGCTCATTTGTAACACAACATTGATGCAATGAGATTTTTTTTTTGCTTTCATCTCTCCACAATAAAAAATCGCCCTGAAATCGTTGCTATGTGCGCATTTAACTGAAACGCAAATGGTTTTTTTTTCTACTTCATTTTTCGTTCTTTTTTTTTCACACAATTGTGCGATAATAAAATGCATTTGGGTCCAGACTTTGTCATCCGTCGATCGTTCGTGGCTCTCGCGCGCGGTTCGCCTGTCATGGGCTATTTTTATATGCCGCATCGCGTTGTTTCTGATAAGATAAGGAAAAATGTGTAACCACGAGAAAAAAGCGAATCAACAAAAGCAAAAAAAGCAATAATATTGAAATGAGAGATGGAAATAGGCTTCAAAATATGTTTGCATGGCGTAGGCTCTATTGTTTTGTTGCAATTTTGATGTGTTTTGTGGTTGAAATGACGGGCGAGCAAATGAGTGAACGAGCGCGGGTACGAGTGAAAAAGATAATCGCTAGAGTTGTGTGAGCGAGCGAAAAAGATACACGTGTACGTGTATGCGTGGATTGTAAGCTTGTGTGTCAAAATTGTGTACTGCCATTCGTGAGACGGTGTATGCATATGTATGATTGTATGAGTTGAATGTGCGAGGGCGAGAAATACTCAATTGCATACAATTTGCATACGCACATACATCCATCCATGTGTGAATGGGCGCTCGAATATGCATTTGTATGTTTTGAATTTTTTTTGAATTTGAAGTGTTTGCGTCCGTCCATGTGGTGCATCGGCAGTGTGGCAACTCACCACAAACATACAATGAAGACGATGTGTATGCGATACAAATGCACATACAAAACTATATGAATACATAATCCACAAGAAAAAAGAATTGAAGCCAATCCCATGTTGTTATGGCAAACTCATGCGCAATTTTAACGTAAAAATACCGAGAGACACACAAACCAACTATAACTACAATGATGATAACACGAATGAAAAAGAGCGAGGGAGAAAACAAGAGAATAAAAAAACAACAATAACACACAAATTCGCACAATATGTCGGAATCGGCAAGTGTTGCCTTTGTCATTGTGACTCGTTCAGAATGCAACGGCCAAATACATCTGGGATCACATTCGATTGTGACATTCGACGGTTTTTTTTTTCATAATGTTTGTTAATTTCGCAATGGTATATTGTACTTCAGCTGCATTTGTATTCAAATGACGGCAAATGATCGTTATTTTAAATCACCATTTCACATTTCCAACATTATTTGGATGCGTCAAATATCCGTATTCTTCTTGCTGATTGAAAAATCCAACTGCTTCTCATCAACAAAAAAAAATAAAAGAAATTAATTTGATTTTACGAATAATTTAATTCGAATCTATTTTTGTTTATTTCATTCTCGCAAACGATTCTACAATATGTATTTCACTTTTTTGTTTTTTTTTTTTATTTTCTTTGAAATATTTGCTGACTTTCTTCATTTGTTTTTATTCCATTTTCAAAATCCGTTTACAATCAATTCCATTTGGAATTGATCATAAAAAACAAATTCTCTTCTTCCCTTCTCTGCAGATAAAACAAAACGATTGTAAATATTATCAACGAATTTAATTTTTGCCCGAAATGAATTTCGACAGAAAATCGGTTGGTGCTGGTTCGATGGTGTCCTTCCAATATCGCATCATGTGTGTGGGTTGCTTCCATTTTTCTATAGTTTCTTGCAGTTCCATTTTGCCTTTAATCACTAACATATCTACGATTCTAATATCTTCTACATCTTTATGCTTCAGAAATTCTTCTCGCACTTTGTCTCTTATTTGAAGCGATGACTTGGGCAGATTGTTGTTATCCACTGCAAAAAAAAAATGTAAATGTAATTTTTATAAAAAAAGTGTGAAAAAATACATGCAAAATTCAAACGAAAATCGAAAAGTTGACTATCAATTTATAAAAACGACTATATGTTGATACCCTTTTTTTCATTGTTTTATTGTTGCATTCTCACTTCCGTATAAATTTTTTGTTTTTATTTGTCTTAGTGATTTACGATGATTTATTGTTTTTGGCTATTTTAAATAACTCAACCCAAACGGAAGCACTGCGTGCTTCCCGTAAAAAAAAATTTGGTCATTTTATAAACAAAACAGAACGAGTAAGCTTTTTGTTGAATTTTTTTTCTTTTGAGGAATCGATTCAGTGCTGCTTTGAATTTGGTAATTTATAGGTAATGAATTTAATGAAAACGGATTATTTGATTCACAAATAAGTTCTGGTCACATTAACTATAGTTATACTCTGAAAGTCTCTTTGTTCATGTTTGTTAGAAAGTGCGTCATTCGTTTGAAAGACGGCATTTTCATTATTACAGAACATAATTGTAACTAACCAATGAATGGGATTTGACGAATCCATGCCTTGTAGAGGTTCAGAACACGTCGTCTAGCTTCATCTTTGTTCACCGATAGAACCGGACGAACTTGTTGTAAGGTGCGTTTTGCTGCCTCACGTCCTGATGACATTCTCTCAAATGTTTTGTGATGGAAAACGATCTTCCTTCGATGCACTCTGCAAAAACATAAATGCAAAATAACACCAGATTTATTTCGTTGGATGATTTAAAATGTGCATTATTATTTTGTGAATTGATTGGTCACCTGAATTCAGAATTTTATTACCTTTTTCAATCGTTTTTATTCACTTATATAATGTTATCGTCGATTTGTTATTTGACATTTGCAGTATGAGAGCGAAGAAAATACGACAATTTGACACATCGAATATCGTTCGCAATGAAATGACAAACTGAAACACACACATGGTATGGAAACGAAAACGACTCATTTGACTTTGCCCAAATCGAATTTCGAACAGGCACATTTTTATTAATCGGAATAAAAAAAAATTGAATGGAATAAATATTTTAATTTGAACTTAATTGTTTTTTTTTTTTAAATAAATCAATGAAAAAGAAGTAAAAGATGAATGATGGGAAAAATGATGAAAAAATTTCGATTTAAATTTAGTTCGAAATTCGAAACAACGACCACATCTCATGTCATTTATATCAAAGCCCGAAATGTCAGAGCGATTACATAAACACGACGATATAGGCAAAAGAAAATACGACGTTTTGTATCTTTTGCTGAAAACCAAAAAGGTAACTTTAAATTGTAAATTGAAAATTTTGTTTTGTCACTGACATCATTCATTTTCAACGTAGATAATTGAATCGTTTGGTTATTATTTCATTTAGATTTAAACAAAAATGTTTAAAATCGCATTGAATGGTGGTCCGCAAGCGGTCAAATTGTTGGGAAATTTTATGCAGAATGGTGCGGTTGTCACATCGATGCAATGCAATCCAGCGTTGAAAAATTTCGTTCGCGGTGAAAAAACGATGCAAGTGGTTGATCCAGCAAATCCACCGCCAAAACCTGGATACTCACCATTTGGTAATAAACAAGCATCGGTGGCTGAATGGGGTGTCGCACGTTTGGATGATTTAATGAATTGGGGACGAAAAGGTTCAGTTTGGCCATTGACATTCGGTTTGGCCTGTTGTGCCGTCGAAATGATGCACACAGCTGCTCCACGGTATGATATGCATCGATATGGTATCGTCTTCCGTGCATCTCCACGGCAAGCTGACGTTATCATTGTTGCTGGTACGCTTACAAATAAAATGGCACCTGCTCTACGAAAGGTCTACGATCAAATGCCCGAACCACGCTATGTACGTACAATTTAAAAAAATATGAAAAATGGAATTGTTGGATCTGAAAAGTGATTATTTATTTATTTATTTTTTATTTAAACAAACAGGTCATTTCAATGGGCAGTTGTGCAAATGGTGGTGGATACTATCATTATTCATATTCAGTTGTACGTGGATGTGATCGTATTATTCCCGTTGATATTTATGTACCCGGATGTCCACCGACTGCAGAGGCACTTCTGTATGGCCTTCTCCAATTACAAAAGAAAATCAAACGCATGAGAACACTTCAAATGTGGTACCGTAAATAGACATCGATATCATCTTTTTTTGGTTTTTATTATGTAAAAAATAAACTTAAATAATATGCTAAAACAATACATTTGCATTTCGTATTCTTTTTTTTTTCATTTCTTGTCTAGTAAGAAGTTTTGAAATTTTTTTTTCAATTAAATTCGTCGCAATAATAGTTATTTGAATTTATGCCAAAAATCAAAGTCATGTGCATTTAAAATTATCTACTATTGACGCTATTTTGTCACTTAAATTGGTATGCAATTGACGATATTCGATAAAAAAAATTAATTTTAAATAATTACTCACAAGCCAAATGTGAATATTCGATTATGCATTCATTTTTTTTCTTCTAACCATTTTGAATTTTTCTTTATTATGTGGAAAACCATTTTTTTCTTCTTAAACCAATACGGATGTTGTCATTTTGATGAATTTCCCCATGCTCGCATCAATAACAATGTCTTGTTAAAGTATTCGCACCATTCGTCACGTTCTTTCTTATCGTCGGCTGACAATAAATGGCTAAAGGAAAAAAATCCAAAAGTTAATGTTGAATTTACAAGAGAAAAAAAAATCGAATTTCGTCGTCAGCTTACCTAACATATGAGTATTTTCCTTGTGTTCGAAGTAGCATTGAGTCTTTGTCATCGGCACGGCGTGGCCGTTTCAATTCAATCATGAATGTATTTAAACGGGCGCACATGTCACGCGGTGCCGTTGAGATTTGTTGTTGTTCGCATACGCTTAAATCCAAAGAACCAATTGGTGGTTTTAAACGTTCATCGTCTGGATATTTCCAGTAGCTCAAGATATTGCCGTGCAATCGACACCAACGACGATGCCATGCACCGAAACCGGACACATCTTCGAACATGGTTAAAAATGCCCGGTGGTCGATATTGACGGTGAACGCACAATTGATTTTCATTTGTACCGTTCCGCACAATGGTGTAATTTCAGGTGAAGTTTCCTGCAAATTCCATGTATTTTGTTGTACTTCACGCAATTCGATTGTGGTAAAACCATAGGACGCAAATGCTGGTGCATGAACAGCATTTTGGTTGGCTGGCAATTGAATCGGTGGCATGATTAAGCATGATCCAGCTTTTTTACCTTTTGGCGTCTTAATCACACCTTTCTTCCCTTTGTGAATGTGATACTTTTCCTCATGCGGTATACACTCTTTTTGTGCAATCATTCCATAGATTTCGAGCGTAATTTTAAAATCGGCATACACATTGTCCAAGTGTAATTCACCCGGAAATTTAACAGCTCTGAGTCCGGGTAATGTTGGAATTGTTTTTGTCGCAAGAACATGTTCATTATATTTCAATAAACATACCAAATGATGGCCAACAATTTCCTCTTCTGCCACCTTTTTCACATAGTCATCGCGCAATGGCAACACAATATTTTTTATTGTTAGGCGACAACGTTCTTTGGTTGCATTCGGTAGACGCAAAACTCTTTCATTTTCCAAACGTTCCATTTCATCGGATAAAGCTTTTCGGCTGTGGGCTATTAAATAAAATCAAGATTAGATATAAAGAAAAAGAAAATAAAAAGAGCATGTTGCGATGCAACACTTAAATTCATACTTACTTGCAACCAAAAGTTTCCATTCAGCCACAACTGATTCGGCTGATCCAGAGAATTCGAGCATTGATGCGCATGTGTTCAATGCGTTGCTGGATTGTGTAATCTGTTGATTTTGAATATCAATATTGTGCTGCAATAACTTGATCTTGTGTTCAACCAAATCATTTTGAGATCGAATGTATTCTTGCGTAATCTTTTCAATTTCTTCATAAAAATCAGTATTATCATCGGTTGTAGTGTGCTCATCCATTGGTGGCGTAAGAATTGGCATCCGATTCATCATTTTCTCGGCGTTTGGTGAATTTTGTATTTGTTGACGACGATATCGGTCAACGGTGTACGTTAATGAATCATAATCGTCCGATGGATTCGCCATCAATCTGGATTTAATTGGACTTTGGAATTTTGTACCATGGTGACTGGTTGTTGCTTCATCTTTGAATGTCAAATGTTGGCGATTTGATGACTTATGGGCAACATAGCTGAAGCTATTCGATGGAAGCGTACCATTTTGAACCTAAAAATGCAAACATATCAATAATATTCCATTCATAATTAATATTATAATTTGGATATAGATTTGTGTTGATCACAAGTTACTTACCGCGTTTCCAGTGCAATTGTGTTCATCTAAATCATCGTCCAAATTATTGATGGCTTCACCTATGTAATTATCAAAATCAGTAGATGCAAGACTTATATCATCATCCTCTGAATCCATATAACTGTAGAAAGACAAATAAATTGATTTGAGAAAAAAAAAAGATCGACCAAATTTCCAATTGAATTCATGAAACATAGAACTCTTTTCAGTCACACAACAACTATATCCAAAAAGAGGCTATTTTCAAAATTAAAATATTGTTAAAGAAACTAAAATTTCGAATCAAAAAGTAAATAATTGAAATTAAAATTACCTATTCCATTCTTCATCTCCTTCATCTTGTGAACTGTACATATAGCGATGTATGATTGGTTGTATATTGACTTTTTGGGTATATATGGCTGGTTCTGGTGTATAATTTTCTGGTGTCATTCTTTCGGCGCCCGAAGATTCAATATCAGTCAGTGATGGATATGCATGACCATTTTTTGGTGGATTGACTTTAATGCGTTTTACACTCTCCAAACTTCTTCGAACATCAGCCGAAACACCAAGGTGCTCATCTACATGAATCAAATAAAAATAAATATTGACATCTCCGAATAAAAATGCAAGCAAAAAAAAATGATAAAAACATACCGCTTATTCGTTTTTTGGGTTCACTTGAATGCGCTGGCATTTTTTGTGGTGGTGGTGGTGATGTTGGTTTTGGTTGTGACACAGCTGGTAAATCATCACAGAATCTTTCATTGCATCGGTTTAAAACGACATGCATTTCTTGTTCACGAATTTTACGAGTTTCGCTTATGATGCGAGACTCAGAAATGGTGGCCGGTGCAGCCAATAAAGCAGCAACTGTTTGTCGAATACCACGTCCAGAAGCGATTGTTTCTGCTTTAATTGCTTTATTGTAGTTGTCTATTTTTGATGCTGATGCTGGTGATGGTTGTGGTGTGACCGATGTGGCAACACTATCGATTGGTTTCTGCGGTGTTGTAATTGCTTGTTTGACCGTTTCCGTTGGCTTCTTATGGGCCATGATTTGTTTGATCGGAGCTGCCAAGGATATTGATGATCTTGGAATCATTGCTCCACTTTTATTTTGTTCGAATATTTCCATTCGCTTTTTAAACGATATTTCGGCCGGATCCTTTTCATTTTTCTTTTCATTTGCTGTTGCATCGTTTGTGGCACGCAATGCACTTGTCTCAAATAAAGCCGCACGGTTAGATACCAAACCCTTGGTTACTTCAACCTTTTTAGTTGGCTCCGGTACCGTTTGCTTTGGCACGGCGACTTTGTTAACCGTAGCATATATAGCAGATGCATTTGAAACGTTTCGGTTGACTCGTTCGGTTTCATCGACAAAATCATATTCTAAACGTTTATTGCAATCCAATTTCTTGCCATTTGAATTATTGTTAAGATCCAAAACTTTAGTTTGAATTAGCTCAACACGGTTCGGAGTTGAACTGGTCATACCTTTTTCATTTCGTTTTCTTGGTGATTTCGTGACGGATTTAATGCCACTAAACGATTTAACATTATTTGATTTGCTTGTGGCAGCAACCACAGTGGCAGTGGATTGATTATTTGCATTCGTTTTAGTCGAGCGACGTTTTGTCATCGTTTCATCTTCCCATTCGTTGAATGAATTTGCCAATTGGGCTAGTTCTTCCTTTAATTTTGTACCGGAACGTGTGTTTCGGGACTGTTTAATGGCAAATGCCGGTTCGGTGCGATGCACACCGTTTCGGTGTGATGACAAATTCTGTGGATTCGGGTATACACCCAAGCCATACAATTGACTTTGAGACGAATCACGTGAACATGACGATGTTGGTGTCACATTTTCCACAGCATATTCGGTCTTACAATCAGTTGATTGACGACGCTTTAATGATGAGGACGCCATTTTTGATTTCATTGAATTTTTTCGTGATGGCGTTTCTTTGGCATTATTCTCTTTTAATGGCACTTTTGAATTACCATTGGCCACGCCAAACTAAAATTTAATAAAAAAATATTGATGTTTTCAAAAGTCTCATTCAAGTTTAAAGACGCAAATATTCCTCAATTGGTCTTTGATTGACTATATACATAAAAAATAATGACAAAAATGCTCATGCAAATTGAATGCAACATAAAGTGCATTTCACATCCTGTTTTTTTTTTTCGTTTTGTGCCGAAACTTGTTTACATTATCGGTCAATTTGCATTCTGCTCTAATTACTTTAATTGATTATTTCCAAGAAAATACATTCCATACTCACTTTTCTATCATTGCTCATTTCGATTTAACCTTTTGTGATGACCAATAAAAACAAAATAAAATAATATTTCAACCTTTTTTTAGCGACAATATTCACAATTCTATATGATTTACAATTTTGCTTGATTTTTTTTTAAATAATTTAATTTCACTTGTTCTATTTTCTCAAATTTCTAGCGATGCACGTCCGGCCAATGTTTATTGAATACTATCACTGATAATACATTAATTAGTTAAACCGACGCAAAGATATTTGAACTGATACAAGAATAAGACGTTTGGGGGCGCTGCATATACTTTAAGTTTTCCAAAAATACGAAATTACCATAAATATTTTATTAATTCGGTTCAGACTACATAAATGAAGCCACATGTTGCACTCATTTTGATTATTGCATTTAGTTTTTACGGAAAACATATTTTAATGGGCTGATTTGTCGTTTAAAATCATTTATCGCTTTAAATATTTACGACAATAATACGTAAACGTATGCTTTGACAGTTTGACAGTTTGATTGTTTTTCTTTCTTTCTCTCTTACTCTTTCACGCATGCAAACATGTTCGTGCACGCTTAATGAGACAATTTATCGTGTATGCTGAGAGATCTAATGAAAAATGAAATTGTTGTCGAAAATCAAAATCAACAGCAAATATATCGGCCATTTTTTAACTATTGAATGAATTATTCAAATAATAATATGCACTTATGGTTCAATATGGCCGCCGAACTGGCTCATATATCCAAAAAATGTAGAAAGCAATTGTTTAACTCATGCTTTATTCAAATTAAAACGCCGCTTTTTAAGTGCGCTAGCTATTAATTGAGTAGAATATTAGGCCATGGCCATTAAAAAATGAGCAATACCCTTTTCTATTGAACGACACAATAAATTACGATAGCCTCAGCATTTATATTTTTCAAATTCAGCCGTTATATGGGTGAAGAATTATAATTGTACGTATTTATTTATTTCATTTTTTTAAATAATTTCTCTTAATTACGACCATAGATTCTGGAGTTGACGATTTAAGGGAGGGGTAATCGGCAAACAAAAAACGATTTTTTTAACGAGTATGGAAAACCCTAGGAAAATTTAATAATTTTTACGCTCGAGGGGAGGGTATTTTGTACGACTGGCCAGGGGTCGATAGTACGACTGGCCAGAGGTCAAAATGTGAAGAGCGAAAAAACGGAAAAAACTTGGGATTCTGATAAAAATATATATTACCCCTTTACCATTTTGATTACATAGAGATATAAACAGCATTAATTTGGATAGCGGTAATATTGATATGGATTGTCGCTAGCACACGTTGAATTCTTCACTTCAACGATTTAATTTATCGAAGCATTACGGTTCATTGTTCAAACAATATTTTATTATAAAATGAGTTCTTTTCAATTACTTCGAAAAATGATGAGTTCTCTGGGATTGAATGAATCCCAGTCATTGCAAAAGATTAAACGGTTCAATATTAAAAATATTATGGAGGCGACTGTCGTGTTCCAACTCCCTATTTCAAATTTCCTATTTTTTGTTCTTCAAGCAAAAACATTCAGTGAATATGCTGTGTCGATTTTTCATTTTATGACAATGTGGTCACTTTTTTAAAATCTATTAATAACCATTTGGAGAGCAGAAACTATGTACAAAATGTTTGATCATTTCGATAATTTAATCCAAAAACGTAAGAATTTATTTTAAATTTATTACAATATAAGACAATGAAATTTTGGATATAATTTTATATTCATTCAAATTTTAATATTGATTCATAGGCATAGAAAATGCGTCATCACGTGCACATTATATGGAAATAAATGAAAAAATCGACAAAATAACGGATATGATAAATATTGGCGTTAAAATAACATGTGTATGCTTCACGCTTCCAGGTCCCATCACTGCAGTGTATACGTTCGCCACAAAAGGACTTGAAGCCACAAAATATAACCTATTTTTTCCTGTTTGGCAAGTTTGGTTCAATTTTTAAAAGAAATCAAAATCATGTGCTCCCGCATATCAATCTGTCTAATTTCAACCATGTTGAAATCAACTTTCATACTCCTCTAAGAGTGACTAGTTTCACGAGAAACAAAATTTCATTAAATATTTTACTTTCATTTAAATACAATGGATCCATAATATATAGAAATATCACTAAATAGTGTGACTATCGTTGATGTATATCGGCACTCTATATATGGAAGATATTTTCAAGAATTTCGGACCAAGTTCCAGTGCCTCGTATGGGGTCAAATCTTACAAACTCGATTTTACACTTTTTTGGTCCGGAATTCTTGAAAAAAAGTGGATGAGAAAAATATCAATTCTAAGATATTTTTACACGGTGATTCCGAATCCGGGGTGGAAGGTAAAAAAAAATCACATCTTGGGGGTTTTTGACCCCAACTCCCTTAAGGGATGGGAAGACTTGGAGAGCATGGGTCCTTAAAGATTCCTCTCATCATTCTTAACAACTTTGTAGAACATTATTTTTTGATCAGACGAAGTTTTGACATACTGGGGTGCCCTTCCAGGAAAAAAATTCAAAATTCTGCTCAGATAGAAAATGTCTATTTTTTACCCTCAACATACAAAGGGTTTTTCAAAATTACCACCCCTCCAAGAGTGGCCCACCCTATATAGTGTGCCGGTATAGATCAACGATATAGGATAGAGTCAATTGCGACTTATTTAGTGATATACTGTTTAAATATATACACTATTTTTCAAAAATTCCGCTTGAATTAAATTAATTTACTAGAAATATTCGAATAAACTACTCAAAAATTCAAATTGATGACAAAGCTATTTGCAGAGAGACACGTTATTTTCAAATTATAGTAACAGTGTTGCCGTCTTTCTCTGCGGTGTATATGTATCCATAATTTGAGTTTTTGAGTGAAAATTCACAAACATTTGAAATTATGTCATAGTAAAGGAGTATAGAAAATTTGTGATGAAAAATGTTCTTAATTTAACCGAATTCTATTCATTTGAGATGTTTTCGTTTATGAAGGCTACCATTTGATTGGCAAACACCGATTGGATATTCTATCGCATCTATCCTTCAGTTTGGAGGCTTACACTATGCGTTTTTATTTTTCACTCCTTTCTTGAGTACTGCAATAGGATCATGTATGCTATTAATATCATTTGCAAAAGATGAAAAACAAGAACTGAAACATATAAACGATATTAATGCTGAAGGAAGCAAACAAGATGTTATTGCGACTTTTGCCACATTTATGCAGTCACATTCAGATTCAATACAGTTGAGTACTTTTATTTTATTTTAATTTAAACATGTCTCTTTTGGAAACATAACAAAAATGCAAAAATAAATAAGAAGAAGGAAAAAATCGTTAATATAGAAAATACAGTGCTCAAAATTTAAACTTTTCAAACATAGAATGGGTTCACAATTCCAAGATGTTCTATTTGTTTTTGAATTTGTATCTATTTGTGTGACATTTCTAATGCTCCAAGAGGAATTGGTAACGTATTTTCTACTCTTGAAATTCGTTTTAATAAATGAGAATATATTTTTTATTCGATTGTTTCCCATTGATTTAGGCACAGGAAAGCATAAATTGGGAAATATTTGTTTTCATTTTAATGATTATGTTTTGGACATATATTGATCTTTTCATGGTTTGTTACTTTGGTGAAGAACTGACGACTGCATTTGAAGAATTAACCAATGAGATTTATCGATGTGAATGGAATTTATTTCCAAATTGTGTGCAACGAATTTTACCGATTGTCTTGCAAATTTCTCAACAGCCCGTTCAAATTAAGGGATTTGCTTCTTTTGTATGCTCACGTGATACATTTAAGAAAGTAATTTATTCTCAATTAACAAAAATTCAATTGAAAAGCTATAATAATCAATGTATTCTCAACAATGTTTTATACAGGTTGTCAACGGTGGATATTCTTACTTCACGATTCTTCGTAAGTTTCAATGAAGAGATCAATGGCAATCAAACTATGGCAATCAAAATATTTTGTACCTATTTTGATAATTAATACTATTATTGGCACAGAAAAAAGGTTTAAATAAATGCATCTTGCACACAACTATAAACGATTGCTATAGATTTTGAAAGAAAAATCAATAAATCATGTTTGTTCTTAAAATCCGATTTATTTAGAATTTTCTGTTGGAAACAATTCGAATCAGCCTTGACGATGACGACGTTCATGCGGAAAGAATGTCTCTGTATGTTAAATGGATTTTAAAGTAATCCTTGCCGTTTAAGATCTTCAAATGTCTTCTTATTCACTACGTTGCCCTGTGAATCTTCAAATTCTTCTTCTTGTTCCGGTATCCATCGTTCGCCTTGCTTTTGTGTCTTCAATTTTTCCCATACTGTAATTAAATCGCAACAAAAAATTGACAATAAGAATAAATTTGCAAAAAAAAAAAATGAATCTCAACGCATCAAACAAGAGAACTTACGTGTGATTGCATCTTCGATTTGTGTCACATTGGCAAAATGTGCCGTATTTGGAATGCCAAGACATCTCATTCCATGCGCATGTCGCCACTCAGCAAAATGCCGTTGAAACGCTTTCGGTCCTTTGTATGTATAATTTCCGCAAATTTCGCAATTATAGCTTATATTCAATCCATGCAGTTTGTACAACCAATACGGAATCGGTTTGCCATCCCAACCCAATGGTAAATTCTTCGGATTGTACGGCACATCATCGGCATCATCTTCCTCAGCATCTGATTCACTGGCCTCTGCGTCGCTGTCCTCACGTTCGCCATCGGTACGCGCCTGTTTACGTTGAACATTCTCTTTGGTCGCGCTACGTTGTTCTGATACCAAATCAGCATAACGATATAGTTGTGACTCCAAATTGGCAATTTCATAATTTCGTGCTGCATCACGAGTATTTTGTCGTCCGGCATTTTTCTTTGCCATCAATGATGAATCAATGTTTCGTTTGCCTTTCGTTGAGAACAATCGTTGTGCACGCTCTTCCAATGTACCGCCACATTTAATGCCGAGTGCCATCAGCGCTGACTTCAAACGATCCAAACCGAGCGATGCCAATTCTTCGGGACTGGAAAATGCGGACAAATCTAAATGTGCACCCGAATGTGTCATTGCACTCTCTTGCTCTTTTGGCCAACCCGGAAATTGGCCAGTTTGCCATTGTTGCTCGAAATTCTTTTGTACTTGATCTAATTCAGCATCCAAATCAAGCAATGGCCGAACTCTGTTCACAAATCCATGCAAATAATTGATCAATGTCTCCAAATATCGTTTGTATTCCATGTTTTTTCGTTCTTTTGGTATATCAAATACATGATCGAATGTCATTAAATATGTAATGTAATCGGATTTCTCAACGTTGCGCAAATTTAAAAATAAATTATAGCATTCGTGTAGATCAAGATAACGTCCAAAGCCTTCTTCATCGCTGAACTCAACCAACAGTGAACCGCTTTCAACGTCGGCCGATGTGCCCGCATACACTTTTGACAATTCATCGAATTCCACCTGAAGCGGTACACTCACTTCGTTTGGATGCTTCTTGTAAAAATCTTTAATTTGCTTTAAACGCGAATAGAATTCATTGAATTCATTAGGTCCGGATAATGCGGCCACTTCAGTTTTTCGTTCGCCCTCCTTATCCTCGTACAATTCACGCAACGATGTTGTTGCATTCACATACATTTCCAGCAACGATTTCAATCGATGCTCCGACAATATTCGCTCACGTTCCTAAAACCAAATAAAAAATCAATCCAATTTGAAGTGGCAAATTACATTATTTGATTTCATTCCGAACATTTTTTTGATGTTTGAACATAACGCACAATTCATTCGAGCACAAAAACAAAACTTACCGATGCTTTTTTCGTGGCATATTCATCGACCATCAATTTGACAAGACGTTCACGTTCCTCGTGGTATCTTCGCTGTTGCTCCAATATTGTTTCCATCGTTTTAAATTTATTTTTCAATTCAATACTTTGTTATACTTGCAGTATTAGTTCATTTGCATGTCCAGAAAAATCGAAAATTCAATGAAACATCTCAAAACATCCACCTTTCGTATCGAATTCAAGTCAACATGAAAACATCACTTTCTGTCTGCTAAGTCGGTCTGTCTATGTGCGTGTGAGTGTGGATGTGACAGTTGTGAGCGGAACGCCGACTATTTCGGAAAACATTTATAATCGTTTTGAGTCGGTGTTGCCCGATTTCAAACCGTCTCCACCAACAATATATATTTATATAGCCCAAATGAATCAAATAATATCGATAACATAACATATGCAGATCGATACAGCGTTACCTCATCGAAAGCTACTTTTTTAACGGAACATCCAATGTCATAGCTATAATAGTTAAAAAAATGTCGTTCAAAAACTGAAAAATAAAAATTCATTTCAACATAGCAAAATGTCAAAATTTAGACGTCAATATAAAAATAACAATAAAACAAGCCATTTAAAAGGAGTGTCTCCTTGTTCGGGATATTTGGTCGTTGATCTTTAAGCATAGGATATCGTTAGTTACTAGAAAAAAAACCGGTTCTCAAGCGCAAATCCATTTAATCGTAATTGTTTATGCTGTGCAAAATCTCCAAGACTTGTTCGATTCAACATACACATATACCCGTTCTCGTTGTAGTCGTCTTCGTCGTAATCAACGTAATGTTTTGTTGTTTAAATGCTCAACGCTCGCATGTAAATCCATCGTTGAATGTGTATGGCGAACGGTTGAGCGTGCGAGATGTGCATGAATGTGTATTGGTATAATGCTACTCTACTGTTTTGGTTTTGCTTATGCCACCAACACGAATCGCTTCACGTCGCGCGTTGTAGTAGTAAATCTACAAGTTGTAACTTTGATCACAGAGTGAACATGTTTTCATTCGATGTTGTGTTTAGTGTCGAATAGCGTGTTGCAACGCAACGATATGACTTGAACGTACTCTCAGTGCAAATATTTTGTCTATATTTTGTGTGTTCGTCAATTTTTATATGTTTTTTTTTTAAATAACAATTACGTAGCATTTGTTTATACAACAAAATCAATGTGTATCAATTTGATTCAGTGATTGGATATTGTATCTGCGTAGAATTTTTGATGTGTGTTTGAGTACGGAGTACCCGGAAAAAGAACCGCTAATAAAAACAATAACAAAACCATACTTGCACTCACTAGAGTGCACCGAATGAAATAGAATTCCGAAAGAAAGTGACGATTAGTGGAAATATTTGCCACACATTTATTTATTTTTCAGTTTAAAAGTCGAATGACAAAATCAACGTCCAATAACGATTCGATCAATCAAAATAACAATATCAGGTGTATTAAAAAAGATTGTACATTGAAATGTGTTTTTGTCACATACCGAACGAGTACGTGAAACGAGCCACAAAAACAGTGTGAAACAGATTTTAAACTTATCGAGAAAAGGCATAAATCATTGATATCAAGATCACAGTTTGTGGTCAATCAAATAAGAAATAAATAAATTCCAAATAGCATACGTATCCAGTGAAACTATACTTTAAGATCAAAGTGCATACGATTGATTTCGAATGTATGTAGAGTGTGTATGTGTGCTTGCAACGACAAAATTGTGTGAACAAAAAAGAGAAGAGAAAAAAAACCGTTATGCAAACCTAATCAACGACATTAAGTCGAGCGAGAGACTGAGAAATCGTTCTAATTAAGCAGAAAAGGATTATTATTATATTATTTAGATAGTGAAATGAAATTCAATTGACAGTTACCGTCTTTTTCGTTTGGACAACAGTGTGACACACCTCAACTACGTTTAACATTTTATACATAAAATACAATATAGTGGATATATCGATCGAATCATTAATTTAATCGGAATTAAATGATTTTCTTGCGAATACTTTTATGTTGGTGTTTACTCCAAATCGTATATATGTAATAGATAATTGTTGCAGTAAAAGTGAAACGATATCACACAGCCAAAAGGTATGTATAAGTTTTCTATTTTAAAAATGATCACATACACCGGAGTTCAAATTCAATCGAACACAAAATTGATAAATGAAACAAGATTGTGACTTTCATTGATAGTCTTTATTATTTGGTTTAATTGAATGTTGATTTAAAAATGTTTAACGTTGCATTAAATTACATTAAGATTACTTGTTTTCATTTTTCGCATTTTAAAATCGATATTCGGCCAAATCAACTTAACTCAAATAGACCATCATCTAATTTTTTTAAAGGCATCTTCGGTTAAAAATAAAATTGCTTCACATTTAGTTGTTTTCAAGAGAGAAAAAAAATTACATCAAACGAAACGTTGACACAATGCAATTGTTCATTACAATAACAAGAGACATTTCTTATCGGAAACTTCACGGAATTTAAGTTGTAACAACAATGATATCAATAACGGCTATCATTTTAAGGAAACACGTATTACAACAAACTTTGACTGATAAAATTAAAATTCGTCTTTCGTAAGATATCCATTGTTTGTTACCAAACAACTGTCCATTGCTTTACTTAAACATGTCCAATGGAGTTTTGACAATTTTTAATTGTTTGCAATTGAATTCGTTTCATGATCGTGAGTTTGTCAATTGCAAAATCATCATCAGAATAAAATCCCGGTGGAATTGCTATAGAAATACGGTATCTCTGGAGAAAGAGAGAGTGAGTAAAGAAGCATTGGCGAGAAAAAAAAAATAATACAAAAAAGGTATAAATAGAATGTCTCCTGCGCAAACAATATCATAAAATTTATGTCGTTTGACTCCTTTGTTAACTTTACGGGTGCAGCATAAAATTCAACATGGCATTGCAGCACATACACTCACTCAGTCACTCACATGCATACAGTAAATACGCTTGCAGCCATTCTCTTATGCCTTCATTCGCGCGGTATCTGTTGATGCAAGTCGAGTGATCAATATAAATGCATTTGTTCACTCACGCGAACGACTTTACTTTCACTCATACACACAAAAGTGCATCGAGTGTATTTGTATATGTTTGTGTGTATTGCGAAGAGAGTGAGAGAGAGGGAGACCGAATGTAAATAAAAACACACCAAAACTAAACAATAAAATTCATTGTAGCAACGGGCATCAATGCATAAATCATCCAGGAATTGAGTATAAACATTTTCATGATGGAAAATAGATGCTTGTATACAGTGTTTATTTTCAACGTTATCCAGGCATGGCTGGTAGGAATTTTTTTTATATATATATACAATTGGATTGCGTTTAATTTATGTGTTATGGTCGATTGAAAGTTTTTCTGTCTGCGCAAATCGTTCGAATTTAAATGTTGACTGTTTTCTGTGTATACAGTGTTGGTGCTGTGTGAAGGGAGAAATTGCATGGAAATGACAAAACAAAGAATGAAATTGAAGCGGTTTGTATTTAGTTTGATGTTAAGCTGATTGCGCCGTTTTAGCACCCAGAAGTGAACAATCGCATTAATCAGTTCATTTCGAAAAGTGTGCAAGAACAACAATGTACAGATTGTGAGGGAGTAAAATAGACAAACGACTGATCTTGTGTTCTAAAATGAGATTTAGTTGACATTGAAGATAGTAGCAATAGTTTTTATCATGACTTTTTCTTCTTTCTCTCACTCTCAATCCATTCGTCGGAATTATCTCTTTTTTCCTCGTTTGGTTTCGTTTGTTGTGTGCACATCTGATGACAATTTTTTTTTCGTTGTCGTCATCATAATAATCATCATCCTAGTTTGAGGGGTCGTAGTACCACAGTATCATTTCACTACAACGCTTGACGAAAAACCACAATCAAAATGAAAACAAAAACGGCAACAGAAAAGTAATATCGACTCGTTGTGCTAATGGTTTTTTAAAAATGTTGTGCTAATGCATTTGCATTTACTGACCAATATATTCGGCCAGAGTATTGAAATGAGCGTCAACAACGATGTGCAATCATCAACAGCAACTTATTGTTATGACCATAGTATTTATGTATTTAGCCTTTTTTTTCGCCATTTATATACTATACTTACTTGTTCATCGTATTTATGTTGGTCATTCTCTGCACCATCGATTCGCCAATACATTTTCAGTTGTCGAAATAAAAGGAAGAATGAAAATAAAATCTTTCATCAGTTGTACAATTGAAAATATAATGTGTATGTAGGGTACAAGAGAAACGTGCGCTATTCGAACTGAGTTGATTTAAATCGATGTTTCAATGTATGATCTTGCATCATTTTTAATGTATTTGTTTGCTTGTGCATATTGGAGTTTGTTTTTCTTTTTATATTGCGCACACAAACGAAAGAAACTAGTGACTAAAAAGAGTCTGTGAGTGTGTATGCATCTCTGAATCTCGTCCGATCGTTCGTTCGTTCACTTAAATCAACTCAACGCAAAACATAAAAGTGTCTGCTTGCTTATACACAGAACGTAAAATACGAAGAATTGTGTAAAACGAAGCCAAAACATAAACACATATACGACGAACACCAAAACAACACGGCATCAGCAATTTTATAGACGTTGATTTCTTTAGAAAAGAGAGAGAGAGCAAAAAAAAACACATGCATCGAGTGTTACTCAGATTGTGCATAAAAAGGAGCCCACAAAATCAACGATAAAAACCGACTGTGAATAATAATTTCAAATACGTATACAAACACAGAACGCAGAGACTCACCTAACAAAAACCCAGGCTAGCGCAACCAACGTTTTATGTCTTTCAATTCTGATATATTTTTTGCATTCAGTCTTCAATGGTTGAGAATGGCTTTGTTTATGCACACGTTCGGTCCTTGTCGTGAGAGAAAAGAAGAAAAAAATCCCCCACAACATAGGCTTAGCCGCTCGCTCTCTCGCTCTCAATCTCTCTTTTCTTCTCTATTGTTTTGAATTTTGTAATGCTTGTATTTTAATTTGTTTTTTTTTTCTTCATCATCGTCATCGACTCATTGTTCTTTTACTCATTCAGTCGGGAGTGTTCTCGGTTGAGAAAGAAAGTTGCTGCAGACCAAAACTTTTACGATGCCAACCAAATGATGATGATGAAAAAAATACATTGCCGAAAAATTATGTGCGTTCAAGCAACAGAGTCTTTTGTTCCACACCGAAAATATGTGCATTTTAAAACAAATGTACCGCATTTTTTTCTCTCTTGCATAGCTACTTTAAATGGATTCTCTTTTTTTTTGTTCCATTCGCCTGCATCAAATTTATTTGTTTATAGACCGAACTCTCCCTCTCTTTCTCTGTCTCTCGATTTTATACTCTCGTAATTCACTCGAAAAATTATGATCTCGCTTACACAAGCGATGCACAAACGCTAGAGTTTTTGTTTTTAATTCGTTCATTCCACACTCGGCCGCTATTAAGTTCATTGTTCTGGATCAGTGTAGTGATTTGATATGTGCGCGCGAGCTCTCACATGAAAAACATTCTTTTTGACTATTTTTGTCTTATTAGATACGTATTTGTGCATGGATTTCGAAAAAAAAACATCAACATTTTATACCATCGAATCGAAAATGCAAGAGATTACAAGTTTTCACTCTATTTTAGGTTCATTTGATACGGCGCATATGCACACGTTTTTCCCAAATTCGGATTTTTCTCGGTCCATAACGAAACATAAACTACACATTTTTTAGATTACCGAACACACATTTCCTTTTGTTTACCTATTTTTATGTGCGTACCTTTTTAGCAACATGTTTTCACATTTTTATTTCCATTCTTTCGTTGCGTAAATCCATCGAATGATCCTCGCACACACAAAACGTGTCGATATGACATGAATAATGAATATATATATAAAAGGTACAATTTGAAATGAAAAAAATTGCTAGAAAAACATTTGTCAAGTTGAAAACGTTTGCGTTTAAAATGAATTACAATCCATGAGAAAATTCGATGTGAAAATCAATCTTTCTCTACACGAAGAAACGGAGAAATAAAAAAACAACAACAACAACGATCGAACAAAATTGCATTGTCAATTGTAATTTTTGCTATCAATATGGATCGATGTACTTGCGCAGCACAAATACGGTTGTTGTAGCTAGTTTCAATGCTGTAGATCAGCATCTCACACAGATTTAAGGCGAAGAATGAGTGAACACAGCCAATTGACCAGAACGAATGAACAAAAATATAAATAAAATAAATAACCAAACAAGTGATATTTATGTGAGAGATTTTATGGTGCGACATCTTCTCGTAGTTTTTTCGGGCTCAAAAATAGCTGGCTGGTTGGATTATGTTTTATCATTAAAAAAAAGAAACATTGAGCCCAATGCCCATGTCCAGCTAATGTTAATCCAATATTTATTACTTCATTTTCTCTGTCACGCTTGTGCACGAGATAGATATTAGACCCATAGAAGAAGTTAAGTATGTGTTATGTTTTTTTCCGCTCTCAACTCTTTTCTCTTTGCCACGAATTATTTGTATTCTTTTGGTTTCGTAAATACGAAAATTTATGATTTGTTGTGTATTTGAGATTTGAATTTTATTTTGTTTTTAAATGAGCCGAAGTTCGGCCAATTCACATGGCCAACAGCGCACACACACACACAACATAATTCGTTTTGAATAAATTAAGGCCAAGGAAGGCGATTTGAGAGTTATTCGCTTTTCAGTTGCGAATGCGTTGCTATCAAGACACCACAAGTCGATGGTTTGGTATTAAGCGCAAGCATAAAATTAGAATTATCGAAAATTATACGTGAAATGGTCAAAAGCTGTCAAAATGAGCGAGAATGGATTTTTGTTTTGTGCTTAATGGCTTGTGAGCGATAAGTCTTTTTTTTTTCCACCTCTCTCTTTACAACGCTGTTTTGTTAATATTCTAATGTAATCCGAAAACCGGTCATGCCCTTTATTGACAATTTTTTTTTTCACGAATATATGTATATTCGCCATGTTGCATAAATACTCTTTCGATTTTTAGCCCATTCGGAAAATTGTGTGGAGAGCGCGCGCAAGC